TTTTTGCCATGATCTGTTGCTACGCCCTTGTCTTTCGTAAAATACACCAACACAACACCAACAACAGCCTTCATGCTGCAGCTGATGGTGGCGCTGAAGAAATCAAAACTACAAGATTGCTGTTCGTCCTGGTGGTGGCGTTCAGCGCGTGTTGGATTCCTTGCATCGTGATTGAGTTAACAGATTCCATCCTTCGTGGAGGGACTCTTTCTCGATCAACATACTTAGCCTATACATACCTAGGAAATCTTTCCAGTGCTATCAACCCCGTATTGTATGGTGTCCTTAATCGACTGTTCAGAAAAGCAACAATTGGACTTTGCTCTCTTAGAAATAATGTTGTTCATGTAATGCAGGGACGTGGTGTGTCAGGATAGACAGAACACATAGTCTCGCTAGAACTGTCCCAACTGAACTCGTTGTATTTTTTCTAATTAACCAAATTATTTCGAACCGTAAAGAAAAGCTCTAGGTTGCTGTAAGTCAGGGCACGGCTAATTATATGTCAGCTTTTTATATGTCAAAGAAGACACCTAAAAAAACTCTAGTGACATGTCATGGAGATTTCAGGAGTGGAAACAGACATCCTAGAGGATGGAAGCTATCCGGCATCCTCAGGCCTTGGTTTCCAAAAACCGTGTATTTTTATGTTTTTGTGTGTGTGTGTGTGTGTCTTCCTTGGCTCAGTTTCTCGACTAATATATATTTTTTTCGTCAATTTTTCTTTCCTTTTTCCATTTTCCTTCGAAGGTTCCAGCAGGATATAACCACTTAAAGTACCTGAGAAGCTTGGCAGTTACATACAAGTGGCGAAAATGCAGACCGGAAAAACATTCCATCTCTGCTAAATTTAATGGAATATGGTACTAAATCCCATCACACACTTCTGTTATATCAATTCAATATATCAATTGTTATTGTTATAGGGACTTGACATCCAAACAGAGTTTTTAAGTATTCTTCCGAGTGAAACTAAAATGATTTCTACAAAATTCTATAGCTACTTCTCACCTTCATATTCAGTTCTTGAACTGACTTACTGATTTATAATTACTTTAAGAAAAAAAAGAAAAAAAGAAAAAAAGAAAATTAGAAAATAGCAAATCTATCTAATCTAATCTAATGCGTTTACCACTTCTGGCTGGACAGTTTAATGCCTAACAGTCCTTGCGACCCAATTGATAAGGCAGCCGGTAGATCGAATTAGGACTTAGAAGTCGATTTTTATGGAGGGAGGAAAAACCGGAGAACCCGGAGGAAAAACCCTCGAAGCCAAGGAGAGAACCAACAAACAACTTTACTCACATACGACACCGAGATCGGCAGGACTCGAACCCGGGTAGCATTGGTGAGAGGCGCCGCATTAGCAGCGCACGCCACCGGTGCTTCCCTCTTTAGGAACAGAAGTTCTCAACCCCATTAGATTGATAAAAATAACTATTTTAGTATATTAGCATATATACCAATAAGATGATATCAAAAATGTCAGTCTATACCTTCAAAACATCGAAATAAATGCACTAGTTTTGCTTAAAAAGTCAATCCCTATTTGATATTTTTTCTTCTCATATGACAACGCTCTTGCAATTACACCTACTTGCAAGAACGTTGTCATACAATATTAGAACATTACGTAATTTAGTGAGAAAAAGTTCAGCTTCAGTGATCTTCTTTTGTTTTTTAATATAATTCCTATCCCACTAAATCACTAATGTTCTATTTTCGTATGACAACGTTCTTGCAAGTAGGTGTATGTTAGTCGTACATTATACTCATTTACCGATCTAGTGTATTTCTGAAGAGCCCCCTCTGGATATCAGCATTTTAAGCTGAATGGGCCACCTGCCCCATATAAATAAAGATTACTTAATATATAATCATCACGGACGTATTTTATAATYATAAATAGTACAATTTTAGAATTGAACACTAGAGTTTCTCGCGCTGTGATTGGTCGAGTGACCAGCGATTCTGAGACGACATTTACTGCTTGAATGGTGATTATAAGGTTTGTAATACTAAAAGATTTTTTCATCCAGAATTTCAACTTTTTTGATATTCAAGTCTACAATTAAACTAAAACAGTTATTCCCCTCAGGCTCAGTAATTATAGTGAATATTTATCTCCTGCTCAGCTGGAAGACTCGCGGCTCGGTAAATATTCCACCAATAATCACTTCACCTTCGGGGAATAATTATTAATTATTATTACTATTAAAAAGTAAGAAGATAAAGTGATTATACGTTAAGTAAGAATTCTTTAGGAATTGAATGAAATACCTAGTAGAAATCCAATTAAATTGTATTTCATGGATAATAATATAGTAAAGTGCTACTATGACGAAAATCGCTCAAACTTGGATTCAGCTGAAACTTCCTAAGAATATTCTTTAAAGGTCCAATAATCACTGTATGAAGTGTTTTCTCGATATTCTGGACGAAAGTATGATATTTTTACGATTATTTTTTGGAGTCTGTGACGTCATACACTCAACATCAAACTTTGCTACATATATTTCTGTCATTCTGTCATTTCATGTTATTGTCATTACGGAGACTTAATGATGCTATAATCATAGTTAATAGAGTATCATTGTTGATAGATGGGACGAACAAATTCGTACMATTTTACAAACATTGTTGATAGATCTGCAATTGATCTTTGCGAGACGTAATAGATAGTCCTTATCAATTTTCTTATGCTTGATAAGATTTAGAAGCCAATCGGAATCGCAGGTTCCGTGTATATCCTATTTACTACCATCTGCGCACGGTTAATGCTTCACACGATCTTAGTCTAATTTCGATTTAAACTTTACTGAAGTCACCCACAAATTAGATTTAATAAGCTCGTTTAYTTACTTCAGTGGAGATAAGTTCGTAATCATAGGTTTTTTTAAAAACAATTTGGAAAGACAAAAATCAATTATAGGTAAAAACAATTCAGAAAAAAGAGACGGATAAAAAAAATTATCTGGCATAATTAATTTATGCATCGTAGCAACTGCAGAGGTTAAACCAGAAGGAGGGCAGTTAATGACATCTTCGTAGCATGATCAGTCGAGAAGAAAATATTTACTTATATTACTAATAGTCGGTTTGTCTTAATACTATATTAAGGCAGCGAAAAGCTGAGGAAAAGTCTTTATTTTTGCTAGAAATTGTGCTCATTTCTTTGGTTGCCAGATGAACAACAACTTGACGTGGAAAGAAGACCTGGCGACTGAGTTGTCAAACCGAGCTTCAAGCCTTGTCATTGTCGAGAGTTCTTTAATGGTTTTGATCAATCTCATATCTGCTGTTGGCAACATAACATTATGTTACGTGATCTACAAGACTCCTTCTCTACAGACCAGAACCAACACGTATATCATTGCCCTAGCTGTATCTGATACACTGATGGCGCTGATGGTGATGCCATTGACTGTTGGAGTGCTGATTCATGGTAGGTGGATCTTTGGTAGTCTAGTGTGTCAGATACAAGGTTTTGTTTCTTTGTCTTTAGGCATGATATCGCTTCAAACCATGGCATTGATTGCAATCAACAGATACTTCTGTGTTGTTCGTCCTTCCTTGTACCCTAAACTGTTCGGCAAGAAACGTTCCCTAGCGATGATGATYGGTATTTGGGTAGTAGCCCTCGTAACAGCCATGGTGCCTCTGGTGCTCCAGATAGGCGGTTATCAGTTCATGGCTGGTCGTGCATCTTGTTTCATTGTCATTCCAGAATTTCAGCCCAACATAGTTTATACATCGTTTTG